AGTGAAAGTTATTTCAGTAATATTTCATAGATAAAGATAGGGATAAAGCACTGGTTGTTTTTCTAGAATCATAACACCAGAAAATAATATGCTTCTTTTGGGAAATCCAATCCTGATATACATTGCAGACTTTGCCCAACCATTCTACCTCTCAATATATCCTTAGCATAAAAGCTCCATTTAGAGTCTCCTGTGACAGTAGGAAGCTTGGTTCAGAAAGATGTCACATCTCAAAATCACCAAATGCAGCTGAATGCAATATATGTAAAATACTCTGTGTCAAGACACGAATAAGAAAAGGATGTGCTGAGAGGAGGAGGCAAATACTTTACTAGAGCTGAGTTTTCAATGGGAAGCGTTTAAGTGTTGATGTTTAAGTGAAAAATGCATCTCATTATATGGATTAGATGTGGTTCTTTATAAGGTTAATTTAGGGAATATGATTCCTAACTTTGCGGAGAGAAAGAGGAGAAAGAGAAGAGAAATTCCATTAAAATATACATAAAACTGGGCCTCCCTGGTGGCACAAGGGGTTAAGCACAGCACTATGAAGCAATCCGCAGCCTCTGCAGCATGAGTTCGATCCCCAGCCGGCCAGGGAGCAACCCACATGACACAGCAGACCTCTCCTGACTTGCCCGCTGCGACCCTCAGCAGTGTACCTTGGTCTATCTGCCTGTTCTGTTCCCAACTCTGTCTCTGGTGAATCCTCTCACCCCCTTGCACCTCTGGCCTGTACCCCCAGATCTTGTATGCATAAGTAAATATTTTAAAAAATTAAAAAATAAATAAAATGTACATAAAACTGCCATCTATTTTTTAAATATCACAATTGTGTAAGAAACATCATTGAAAGTACATTTTATAAACTTTCTCCAGCAATCTTGATCATATGGCACTACACTATCACACATTTCTGATTTACAATCAATAGAAATAAACCACATAATAACCAATGCGACACCACAATTTGCCCCTCAACTCTTAACACCTAAAGTTAGAAACACTGGGTGAGTGACAAAAATTTCCAGGAACTTCCACAAATATTTTATCTATAGCCAGAAAACATTCAAGTTTTGTCTATAGCAGGAATAATCTACATGCTGGCTAGCCATCACACTTAATTAAATTTGTAAGGGTCACATCAGAGGTAAAGAATATTATCCACATGGGTAATGCAATAGGAATACTAATTCACTCAAAGGGGTCCCAGCTGCCCTTTCAGCTTCACTCTTTCTTATAGAAATTCTTATTATCAGAATAAAAATATCAAGCTAAGCAGATCTACTAACTCATATCCTTACATAAAATCATTCATTACTATGGGCAGTAAGTATTGATGTTGAGGTTTCATCCATCTGTTCTCATTCAAATAGAGGAGGCTATTGTTTTTCATACAAGAAAAAAAAAATTGCATTGCAATGAAATGTGTCTCTGCCATTTGTGCACCAAAATTAATATTCAGAGTATAGTCATTTTAGTGTGCCTCATATCTATAGGGCATGAGTCACTGATTTAAATATTACAATTAACAAGTAAAAACCCTTTCAAAATTCACAGCCATACTCTGGCAATTCCTTCAAACAGGTTGGCCTTTCACCACACCTTTCTCCTGTCAACTTGCTACTACAGACAAGCTGGTTCTTGATGTTTAAAGCACAGGTTCTACCATGGACAAGGCTGATCATAGTTTTCTAATGAATTGATTAAGTTTATTTATATCCCAAAACTGTAGGCTTTTGCCAATAGGTTATTTTTATGCTAGAATTCTCCTGAATAACTTGATTTTTTTTTAGCAAAAAAGTAAATAAAAAAGAATATAGGACTTTGTAAATGAGCCAATCTCAGTAAAAATCCTGATTCCTACCCATTGTGTGAAATCATACAAATTGGTTAATCTCTCTGATCTGCAATTTCCTCAATGGTAAGCTATTATTCCCTACCTCATGATATTATTTTTGTCTTGTGAGGCAAACCATATAAAGTATTTGATAAGTATACAAGTGTATCTCTATAAGATATAGTATTTATTTACTCTGTGTGTGTGTATATATATATATGTATATATATAACTATGTGTGTTCATATAAATATCACACAAAAATTAGCTTACATCCAAAATCCAAATGCACTGATTTAATAAAATGATTAGTCTTAAATCTAAGTCAAATCATTGGGTTGAAAAATGATCTGCCAGCTATCTTGTCATTAAATACAACATATATTAGGAGGTTTGGTTAAAGTTTGGTTCCTTACCCTTGACATCTATCATTTATAACATTGTCTTTCATCATACTATCCATGAAAAACAATTCTTAAGCCCAAATCAATTTGACTCACTAAATATAAATTAAGAATCTATTTTATAGAAAACCATGCTAAAAAATGGAGAAAAATTAAGAAAACATTCCCTAAGGAAACATAAATAAATCTACTTTGAAATTGCTTTGTCTCACCCTAATATCTCATATGACTAATATCCAAAGATTATGCATATGGATAAGCATTTATTAAAATTAATCACCCAAGTGCCTTTATATTGATTTCAAAGCATTGCTTCAGAACTGAGACAATAAATAGCATAGTCAACCTGGTTTAGGGGAATGAATAGTGTCTTAGCACAAAAGTATTCCTGGTTCTACCATTTTATTGCTCTGGACTTCAATTCACCCATTTGGAAAATGATGACTTTGGAGTATCCTACTTCTTACTTATTTATGTATAAATAAAATTATTTCCCCAAATTTCAAGTATTTCTCTAATTAAAAAATGCAAATTTGTTAGTTCTTATCTAGTGAGATATTGGGTATCTCAATCAAATATATTAACTGGTTATGAAGTTTGCTGAAAATATGCTTACTTCCAGAAAAAGAAATAACAATTTTATTATAAAATTAATTAAACCCTTTAAAAATGTAAGTAATTAAACTGTAATTAAAGGGGACATAAAATTTTTTCCAGAAAAATATGCAATCCAAATATGTTGCAGTAATCTCTATCCAGATGTGATTGGAAATATGTGTCTGTGTACACAGATTTTTTTTCTACATAGTTCTAATCATAACTTTATACAAAATATTTCTTCAAATTTGCTTTGTTATCTAATGGAATATGTATGTAGGGAATTTTTCTTTGCAGAATAAACACATTTTAAATGCAAATATATCAGTTTCCTGAAATTTGATTTGCATTACCATTCAAATAAAGGAGGAACTAGAATTTTTCCTTCATTTCTAGAAAAGGCAATACAAAATATTAGTATCAAGTTATCAAGTTTAGAATGAACCTAGCCAAGATTTTTCTATATAAAACTACATTCTTCCACAACTGCTAATTGTGCCACATGCACATTTCATTTCAGCATGCCCGTGTGTGTGTGTGTGTGTGTGTGTGTATGATGGCTGATATAAAGAAAAATAAAACTACCAGGAAAAAAAGTCTTTACTCGTAAGCTTTGGGTAAAGAGAGTGACTATTTCATTATACTTGCAATTGTCACTTCAAAGCCCTGTCTCGAGTTTCTTAAGGCTCTGCTAGCTCTGTGATATAACTAGATGGAGATCATTCTTCTGTGACCAAGTTACATCTCAATACAGAACCCTCATTTTTCATGTCTTCTGCTTAAAAACAAACAGCAAGCTCCAGAGAAAGACATGCAGTTAGCTGATATGAGCCCAGACTAGAACAGTGGCATTTTCAGAAATGAAATTAACAACTCTCAAAGGATGCCCATCTTATATTTTATCTGCAAAGAGCTTTCTAAAATGTTGCTCTTTGAGATATGAACTACTTTTATCTCCCAAGACAGGTCAACACTATGCTGCTTTAATAGCAATTCGGGGGCTAAGAAATATTTTCCTCAGATTGAATCACCTAATAGATAAATTTCCTGTCTTTCAGAATATTTGTGCTTAAGATTTTTATATTCAATAAGGAAAATTTCAGAAGCTCTGCAGTGTTATGTGCTTATAAAATAACCAAAACATGAAAAAAAATGACATCTAGGATATAACTGAATTCCAACTTGATTTTCACCTCCCCCATCCATTTCTAATATATCCAGTAGGGAAAGTAATTCCCTTTATATTTAGGTAACAGATAACTCTACAATAACTTTAAATTATAAAGCCTTGCCTTGTTTCACATAATTAAATATATACAATTCAAAACACTGACACCTCATTCTTGTTTTGCTTATTTTCTTTTTCTAGAGTTAGGATCTGCCATTGGTAGCCTGCTTGCTTTTAAGGAGAGGTAACTGAACCCTGCTCTCATTCTCTGATCAACTTTTCTACCTCTTTGTGGAATTCACTGCTTTTCTACCACTTTGTCGTATCCACTGATGCTTTTTAATCAAAGGTCAAAGAGTGTGGAGGAAAATAAGTCAGGACAGGAAAAGTTCTTACTTGCTTATGCCCAGACAGAAGCTAGGACATACCTGTGTCCCCAACTCATCAGCATCTATCTCCACAGCCTCCCAGATCTCTAATTATCCACAAGTTATACTTAATATTAAAGTCCTCTGGCCTTCCAGAGAGGTCCCCCTGGGCAAAACTAAGCTCCAGTTCCTGACAACTACTTTTATACTTTCCCCAGACAAATTCCACTTAAGCTTTCCTCAGTATGGATAGGCACCATCTTAAAGGATTCTTCAACACAGAGAACATACAGCAGGCCTTCCAAGAAGCCCAGATGAAGCCATATCTTTCACTATAAGAAGAATCCTTCACCCCGGATACATAGAAACTATCTTTATCTATCTAATTTGATGACTTGCTAAAAGTGTTCTCACGCCTGAGGAATTGACAGTTGTTTTGTTTTGGTGCCCGAGCTGAAATTTTACCTTTATGTTGTTAAGGTTATACATGTAGAATATATTTGACATGTAGAAAATGCACACTATCTAATATATAACATGTGCTTAAAGGTAGTTGCCATTACTATAATATCAGCAACATCCGTATGGTATTTACCATCTAGGAAGAAACACATGCTACTCACCATGTCTTAACTGTCCACTTATTTTTCATGGTAAAGAACTGGAAACAAAGCAAATGTCCAAGATCAGGTAACCGGATAAGCACGTCACAGCATACCCCTACAATGCAAAACAATTTGGAAATAACATAAATTATTGATACACATAACCTAGATGAGTTTCAAAATAATTGTTGAGTGATAGAAACCATATTCATAAGAGCCCATAGTATATGATTCCATTTATTTAAAATTAGAGAAAATGAAAACTAACCTCTAGTGACAGAAAACAGATCAGCAGTTGCCTGGGGAATGTGGGGGCAACAGAGAAGGAAGGGTGAAAACTGTTACAAAGGTCTAAAGGAAAATTTTGGGTTTGATGAATGCGCTTTTTATCTTTAATGTGGTGATGAGTGGTATTAATATACATATTGGAGAAGAAAAATGTAAACATTATGTCAGTTTATTATGTCAATTTTGCCTCAATAAAACAGCTTTTTTAAAAATTTTAAGCAACAACAAAAGCAAGAGTCCCACTTTTAGATACCTAAGTACTATTTGCTTTCACTGAAGTCTTCACAGATGGCTTTATGATCATTTTGTTTATAGTATTTACCATCAGGTACTAAGTATGTATCCCCACGGAACCAGACCAGATAGTCAAATTTCATGTCTTGTAAAAGATTTGGCATATTTTGTATTCAGTTTACTTTCAGGTATTCAAATAAGCATTTATATTGTTGCTAATTTAAATATTTTTCTAAAGATATTTTACAATTTATGTATTGTATATCAATATCACTTAAATTGTGAATGCTTTAATTTGTCATTTTGCTAAAAATATCCATAAATTCTAAGAGCTTTTCAAAGGACTCATGCTTCAAAAGACTATTGCTTTTCAGGGTTATCAACTTGGAATTTTTACCTTCTAATATAGTTTAATCAGTGTTTTCCTGGAAATATGAAAAAGGGTATTTCTGTTTTCACTGTGCTGACAAAGTTTGGCCAAAATACTTTGATGTGTTTTAATATCATTTTATTCCTATAGAAAAGTCACACGTCAGAAAATATATTTGCCCCACAGGGTAAATATCTATGCTGGCATGTTGTCTTAGTTCCCTATATGTACTTCTCTTCTAGATGACAATTACCACATAAAGATCTTCCTTCCAAAAGCTGTGCAACTTACAGTGCCTTTTTTTTTTAATAGGAGCTACACTTTTTTAGAAAGAAATTTTAAGTAACATTTCTGTTTTTTATTTAGTTTATAGATTAGAGGCCTCTGTGTCAAAGTGGTTAGATTTTCTGGTAGACTTTATTTTTAGAGCAAGCTTAAGGCACAAAAAAACTGATGGAAGGTAGTTTTTCTATATACCTTTTTCCTCTACACTTGCACTGTGTCCCATCAATATCAACAGCAAACTGGTACATTTGTTTTAAAATGATGAACCTACACTGACACATCATCATCACCCAAGGTCCATAGTTTACATTAGGGTTAGCTGTTGATACTGTAGAGTCTATGGTGTGGGCAAACATACAATGATCTGTATCCACCACTATAGGTTCAAAAAGAACAGATTCGCTGTCCTAAAAATCCACTGTGTTTACCTATGTATCTTTCCCACTCATCTAACCTCTAAAAACACTGATTGTTAAAACCATTTCTATAATTTTCACTTATTAATAATGAAGAAATTGTTTTTAAGAAAATAATTATTTTTATTTGTGTAATATGAAATTTTCAAAACACGTTCACTTAAATTGCCCAATTTGCTACATAGAATGTTCCTGTTTTATAAGCGAAACAAAAATCTAAAACCACAGTGCTCTTTAAAAGGGGAATATACAATTATGAATGTTGTATTCACTTCACTAATCTCTGGAAGTGGAGGCAGTGCATTAGTTAAGGTCATGCCCTAGAGTGGGACTGACCCACTATTCCCAGGGAATAGAACTTTGGGAATAGAACTTTGAGAAGTTTTCTAACCTGATCAAGCCATCATTTGAGTAGCAAAATCTTTAAAAAGGCAGAATACTGGGCCTCCCCTGGTGGCGCAGCGGTTGAGCGCTGGGTTGCAAAGATGCCCACAGCCTCTGCAGCACCAGTTCCATCCCTGGCCACAGGTGAGGGTCTCACATGGCACAACAGACCTCTCCTGCCGCGCCTGCTGCTCCCCTCAGCAGTGTGTTTCGTCAGTCTGCCTGTTCTGTTCCCCACTCTGGCTCTGGTGAATACTCTCACCCTCCTGTGCTTCTGACTGTACCCAGTGCTTGTATAAATAAATAAATAAATAAATCTTTAAAAAAAAAAAGATTAAAAAAAAAGGCAGAATATTAGTGCCTTTAAAAAAGGCAGAATATTAGCACCTCTTCATCAGAGTGCCATGAGGCTGAAATGAGGTAATGTACACAAAGCAGAAATCCAAACATAGCATAAATGCAAACACAGCAAAAACCTAGTAATTACATTTTTAATATCATTTTTTAAATACATGTACAATAATTGTTATTTAGCAAATCCAGAGTAAAAGATGAGAGGAATGTGGTGTTAAGTTTCCCTAGCTGTCCAAATATTATTATGGCTTATTTTTCTGGCTTTCTTGGTTAGCAGGAATGCCATCTTAAAATGGAATCATTTGGACATATAATAAATGCACCACAGGATAAAGATTAATAGATGAGATAAAATAGTATTTTTATGTTATGCTTGCTATGCAATTTTCAGTGATGCTATTAGCATTCCAGTGATAGTACACATTAATTGAGTAGCAAAATTCCAGTTTTACAATGAGAACTTAAAAAATACAAGTTGAAATATAATATAACGAGAGGGGCTATCTTGTAATCCCTAAAAGGCTGTGTAATCTATGATATCACTATGATATACATACAGACACACAGCCACAGTGAAAGCACATAAAAATAAAATTATTTGCTTGATATTTGAAATTGGAACATGTGAATAATCCTTCAAAATGCTGCATTTGGAGGCAGGTTGGACACACTGTCTCAATTATTCATTAGGAAAAAAGGATAACATCAACAGCAAGGGTGCTATGGCAGGGACACAGAATATAGTACATGGCCCTGAACTCCTTCTTTTCAATCTTCCTGAAGCCTCTGGCTCAGTGATGGCTTGCTCACCAGGAAAAGCAACTGGTACAATAAAATCAAATTCCTTCAAAACTTGGAATCAGTATTGCAGAAAATTATATAGTTCTCATATAGGTAGATAAAAGAAGTGAGCCTATGTTTTAATTGTAGGAAAACTAAATAAAATCTCTTGGGAAAATGTACATAATACTAGTCTGATAACTCCACAACATGGCATAAAATTCCAAACAACTGTTTCCATGACATAACAGACCCTCTGAAAAAGTGTGTGGGTCAATCAGATGATCTGGGGAGTGAGCAGGAAACCTCCGCTCCATCTGAATCTTTCAGGTATAACACTACCTTAACAGGATGATCATCTTTAATCAGAAGTTACCTTTTCAGAGGCCCTTTCTGACATCCTCTTTAAAATTACACTGTTCGTCCCACCCAGATATATATATATCCATCTTCATGGATATACTTTTTTACAATTAGTCTCTGAGATGCTGTTGCTAAGAGAAACAAGCATGTGTAGAGGTTTAATCTATATCCCCTAAAACAAATATAGTGATGCAAAGTAACTCTATCCCAATAAACATACTTGGGAAAATTAAAAATAACAAAATAAATCATGCTTTTGTCCTATATTGAAAGTCATTTTTTATCAAATCTAAATCCTAACTCCAATCCTTTCTCTTTGGGCACATATTTTAAAAGATTTATTTTATTTATTTATGCATCATACAAGAGCTGGGGTGTAGGCCACAGGTACAGGGGTGGGGGGTTAAGAGGATTCACCAGAGACAGAGTGGAGAGCAGAACAGGCGGATTGACTGAAATATACTGCTAAGGGGAGCAGTGGGCAAGACAGGAGAGGTCTGCTGTGCCTCTTTGGGCAAATCTTGAACTCATGGTCTGACCTCCTTAAATGTCCTAGTTCTGAGTATTTCCTGCAAGGTGTGCTGTTAAAGGTTTCAGATTGAACTGGCTTAATATCAAACCATTATTTTCATTAATATTGTTTTTCTTTCATTCTTTTTGAATGGATTATTAAGGTTTCTAATCATAAAGCCACTAAGCTTACGTACTGGCAATTTAACACTAGCTAAAATGTAAGACATTGAAGTTGGAATTCCATTTTCTCTGTCTCTAGAAATGTAGTTTAGTGCTACAGTTTTCTGTAAGTTTTGGAATTAGACTGTATCGGTCTCTATCTCAGATCTGGCATTTATTACCCTGGTAAATTTATTTATTTATTTTTAAACTTTTTTTTTTTTTCAGATTAATTTATTTATACAAGCACTGGGTACGGTCAGAAGCGTGGAAGGGTGAGAGAATTCACCAGAGCCAGAGCCGGGAGCAGAACAGGCAGACTGATGAAACACACTGCTGAGGGGAGCAGCGGGCACAGCAGGAGAGGTCTGTGCGGGCCATGTGGCACCCTCGCGGCGGCCAGGGATGGAACCAGTGCTGCAGAGGCTGCGGGCTTTGCAGCCCAGCGCTCAACCACTGCGCCACCGGGGAGGCCCTATCCTGGTAAATTTAGACAAGTTACTTAATATTTCCAAACTTTGTCTCTCTCACCTTTACAACAGGCATTGTAACTGTCTCTTCCTCATAAAATTTACATTAGCATAAAATACATGTGACCCTCCTACCACAATGATTAGCAATTATGTGTGTTTTATGTGTGCTCAATAAATATTAGATTTTGTTGTCAAACTTTAAATTTAAGAAGGATTGTATATTTTGTTTTACATCTGGGTAAACAGTTAAAAAGAATGCAGTGATGAAGTTATGCAAAAATTGCCCACCTCTGATTATTGATAGTTTTCTGATGATCTTGGTCCACAAGCCTATAATTTCACCATGGAAAAATTTGAACTACTATTAAATTGACCATAAGTTAAAGATAACTTGGGATAGTATTGTTTATTTTTTACATCTGCTCTTGAACTGTCTATAAACAAAATATCATTTTCTTTTACTTTCTGCTAACTCCCATGTGTGAAAAAGGTGGGC